GAAAAGGTTTTTGGGAAACTCTAAAAGTGAAAAAGTTAAAAAAACAGCCAGTTTAGAATTAGCGTCATCAACGGGGCTAAGCAGGCTACACATTTGCAAATTTTCGACACTTATCTTACCCATGCTCAGCAAACTTCGCGTCAATTACAATACAACGCAGTAGAAAAAAAGACATCAGCACAGCAAGGAAGATTCTATAATACAGATTCCAAACATCCAAGATGAACAAAGAGCTCATTAGCTCTTCCTCGTTCCAAACCTCTCGTCGTCACCACGGCCCGTGCCATGTCCGGGTGTGGCGTAGGTGTTACGTCATCCAATCTTCACATTACGTCATTGCCCTCCTGAGTCCTGCAGTGCTGTCCTCGCCTCGCGGACTAGCGCCTTTGAGGCTGCAGCTCCTCCCTGTCGTCTCCCATCTGTCGGCTCAGAAGCCTTCAACCAGCTCATGTCCTCTGTTCACTCTCGTCCTCTGCCCGCTCCCGCACAGTCCGCTCTCTCCCTCTGTCTTCTCCCACACTCTGCCCGGCCGTGCAGCCCCTGAGGCGCCCACTGGGACTGACCGGCAGCTGACGAGGGAGGCGTGCCGCTCGAGTGTCGAAATGGCGCTGTACGGGTGTCGAAGTGTCGCCTAGTTGAGGTGTCGATGTCCCGAGGTCAGCGACGGACCGCGGCGTCTTCACAGGAGCTCAGTGGATCCGACAGGGGGAGGGGCAAGGGGAGCCGGCGATAGATCGACCTCGTTACTGCGAGTCAGTCTCAGGGAACTCATCCTTTCGATCCTGTCAGGACCAGCTCAATCAATAGGAGCACAGAGAGATGCATCAGTTCTGTGGGAGGAACGATGGCTCCTCAGGACAATAACAAAGGAGAATAGCATAGGTAAACAATTTTTGAGTTAATGTGCCTCATTACGACTGCCGGCGAACTGCCTTAGAAAATCATAAACAGTTTCACTTAGTCATGCTTATGAGCACTGAGTTCAGTGAGATTGCTTTAAATAGTTTTGAGAAACATTAAGACGAACTTGCCATAATAAGGCTTGTCTGGCTTTCTGTATCTGTTTTACAAGCACGCCTGCTTTAGACACAAATACCTAATGATATTTTTTGGTTAAAAATCAAGGCTGGGCTCACTATCAAGCATGTGGACAGTTTCGCGGTATCTAAATGTGCAAAGCCGTGATATGTTCAATTTGCTGCGAACTCACGCTAATCAAAAGACCATATAAATTATCCAAGGCTGTGTGTGGTATTTGACTTAAGAACTTATGACCGCAAACATGCATTTATGACAACTACTTTATATGGGGTTGAAACTTCTCTTCGATTAAATGATGCATTCGTTGAAGATGTTTCACAATACCTACAATTGAATGGTGAAGAACCAGTGCTCACTGCCCATTGAACAGTTGAGTTATATTTTATCCCGTACTGGTGGTTTGTATAAATAGCAAACCGGTGCAATGTGATTCCAAACTAAAATGTTTTCCGGAGACGTTGATCATTTCCAGACATCATCAATATCGATCTCCTCTTCCGCCGTTTCATTACGGCCTACCCATATCTTTACATGACCACTTCGTTAACTGCAAATCCGTCAGCGGATACCACCATGCCAGCTTCTGTCCCCTCTCAGCCCCCCGCCCCACCTAACGGTCCCTGCGGCAGTCTGCCGGGCCCCGGCCGGACCCAGGGGGCCCGCTCCACCGGCCGCTGCCAGCTGTCAGCACTGGTAAACAGTGCGCTGCGCCGTGACACGCCGCAGCCGCGCCGCCGCCGCCGCAGCCGCATAATGAGACGATTGAGACGCGCTGCCGTGTCCCGCGCGCCCCGGACACGTGACCGCTGCAGCCGGACATGGCAATGGTCACGTGACCGATGGAGGAAGCAGAGGTCACCTGACCTTGAGTGACAGAGAGCGATGCAGGCTTGCGGGAACGCTAATGTTGATGGGTAACAAATATGTATCTAAACGTCTGCAAAAGACCAATAACACTTTCTAGCCTGAATGTTCAGCATGAAGTGGAAATAATGGTGCACAATTATAATTTTTTTGCAGCTGCTCATAATTGGCGTTTTGTAATACTGCGCAACATGGAAATAGCACATTCTTGATTTTTTTATAAGATATAAAACGAATAAATTGGCTGTGTTGTAAATAAATTTATGAGTAAAGCATAACAAAATGAAATCGACATGCAATATTGATACAAATTTAATACGAGAAAAGAAAATAATAGTCAGCATGGTGCAATGGTCATTCCTGAAATCAAGTTCCAGGATCAAAATGTAAGACTGAAAGCAGAATGTAAAAGCGTGCAAGCGTGTGCACTGTGCATTGTGCAGCATGCAAATCAAATTGTAAAGGCGAAATACACTGCAGCGCACACGCCTAAAGCTGGGCTGTTCAGACGCCTGAAAACAGACCGCACCGCAGCGCACACGCCTGAAAGAAGACTTTACCGCAGCACACAAATCTACAATTAGGTTGTATAGCGCATTACGCACGCTTGAAGGTAGACTGTACCGCGGCATATAGCCTGAAGGTAGGCTGTACTGCGGCACATAGCCTACAGGTAGGTACAGTGGGTCTATTTAAGATCTCCAGAGCCACCACGTGGCGCTACGGTCGGGGTAGGGCGAGTCCAAATCCCGAGGGAAGTGAGGTCACCGGTCATTGTGGGGAAGGAGGGAGGGGGAGTGACGCGGTATCACGGCGCGTGGGGCGTGCGTAGCGCCGGGAGTGGGCCGCCCAGGGCCGCCCGCCACTGCGCCGAGGCTGAGGGGAGGGGATGATAGCTGCGGGTGCGTTCACTCCGGTGTGGTGCGTATCCTGTTCATGTGTAACCAGCAAGAATGCGACTGAAGGGAATCATTATCTCAAACAAACGGGCAAGCGAGAGGCAGCGCCAGTTCTAGCCAAAATCTTGAACAATATAATTGAAATCTAGGAGTATCAATTGCATGCAACTATTCAGCCGATAGTTGCATGATGTCTCATGACACCATGGCTTTTCTAAACTGTTATTTGAGTTGGGTATTTTTTTATTTGGCACGTTCAGTTTTGGTGGGTTTTATCGGGTCGAAAAGAATCCGAAAAGAAAAGAGTTGAAATGACTCCAGAAAATAGACCAAAAAAATATTTTCTTTAAAAATGAAACCTAGCTAAAGTCTAAGAATTTATAAGCGATGATTTTGACTTTTTTAGGGGATATTGGGGAAATATATTGGCGAAAGATGTCATCGTGCTTGTCTGTGTTGCAGTAGCACCTATCGCCCTGCGCAGCTTGCTCAGTGCTACGGCTAAAGTTCGGCCAAAGTGTCTGACGTCTGTCAATGTCACGAGGCGAAACCCCTAGGGTCCGTCCCGGTAGCTCGGTCGGTAGGGCGTTGGACTCCGTGTGGTGAGAGCGCACGTCCCGGTTGTAAAAGTCCGGGTTCGAAACGCGACGTGTGCTTGACGTTTTTGAGCTCCTGATGGGTGTGGTTGTGGTAGGTGGCAGGCCGCTGCCAGGCGAAGTCAGTGAGGGGACCGGCCGTGCGCGGCTACGTGCGCACGTTAAAATTTGGACTCTAAATTCTGCCATAGACCAGGAATTGCTTGATCGGAGGGTAGAGGGCAGGGTCAACGCAACAAGCTTAGCTTAGCGGGGACCCGAGACTCCTTTCATTCAAAAGGTTCGGGCCATATTTATATTAAAAAAGAGGAGCCGAACCAGATTGGGTCAGGGTCAGGTTAAACCCGGTTGGACCTGTGTCTTACACGCAATTATGGTCAGAGAAAACAGAGGCCAATTTCGTGTCAAATATTTTTATTAAATGATCTTATTGTTTTTTAGCTTACACGTATAATAACTTTAAGCTTTTTTTTAATCGAGACTTGATGCACAAAAATGTGACATTCGTCCGCTTTTCCTCATCTCCTCTCAGCGACTTGATTTGACCTTAAATCTTACCAGCAAAAAATAAATCACCTGCGTGATAATTATTTTCCCAAGGGCGCCCTACGCAAGAAACGCCAGCCGGTCAAAAACTGGCGAACGATACGATATTTCTTGTGCTTGAATTATATTCAATGAAAATTTCAGGAGACATAAATAATCTTAATCCTTATAGCTACCGGGCGCTCGGAGCATTCGCTAGCATTCCATTGCCAGCTGCATTACCAATATCACATTTCCATTACTTTGGGTTCATCATAGTTGACAGTAGATGAACAGGCCACAGCAAACCCATGCCTCATTATCCTTTCCTTCCAAGCAGCCAAGCTAACCGGCCGCCCGGCCCACCACCGCGATATGGAATAACACTGGAGTGCGCCATTTGCCTGCGGCAGTGCCCCACCGCGCCGGGGCTGTTTGACAGGTCACCCGTACCGTGACCTCGCCAACCGCCCCCCCCCCCAGCCCACCTCCCCATCGGGCCCAGCTCGGTACTGACCTCCCCTGGAATTTGACATGGACTCGACTGAGGCTCAACGCCATCTAGTAACGTCTGGAGATCCTTACTAGATCCACTGTACACTGCACCGCACTACACACGCCTGAAGGTAGACTGTACCGCACCACACACGCCTGAAGGTAGCCTGAAGGTAGACTGCACCGGACTACACACGACTGAATATAGACTGTACCGCACTACACACGCCTGAAGGTAGGCTGTACCGCAGTACCTACACAGTTAAAATACACTCCTGAAGATGCACCGAACTACACACGCCTGAATGTAGGCTGTACCGCATCACAACAAACGCCTAAAGGTAGACTGTACCGCAGTGCAGTTGTCTGAAAGTGGAACGGACAGAGGTGACCACTGTCCACGTGGCATCTACCAGCATTGCTATTTAGCAACAAACACATGACTCAACGGAGGACTTTGAGGGACAACAATGCGACAAAGCACGAATCGGAAGCAGTGAAGAGCGCCGACTTGGACTCATTGTGTCATGTGACTGTGAGTTTAGGGTAAGGTGTGAAATGGCGACTTTGACTGACTTACCTTATATTGCAGGTCTTGATTGTATCGCTGTGCACATCAGGATGCCTAGCGGTCTTACATGTAATCGTCACAGGAGCTGTAACAAAATGAGACACACCGTAAGGAAAGTTTATCAATTATTCAATGCAAAACTGAATGCCTCAAAACCTATTCACTCCTCGCATAAATCATATTTTGTCGCAGAGTTAAGGCCCTAATTTACATCAAAATGACATCTAAAATATTTTAAATGCGAAATAACATGAATGCTGCAAGACGTTTCGCTCTTCATCATATTTCTGAAATTATCTTTACGTTCAAAGGAAATATCGTCCAATTTATTTGCTTCTCTTTAAGTTTCTGGGCCAGAGCATTTGAACTAGGGAAGTTGTAACTATCCATACTATTTACTTTATACCTTTCCTTTTAGCTGGTTTTCACTGAATCAGTTTTAGCCATCTAGGATTAATCTGGTAATCCCACTGAATGACCGACTTATCACAGACAAGCATGCCTTTATTTGTCTTTATCTACATGTAAATCAAGTCCGAAACATCCATATACAATAAACGCTGTAGCACAGCCTGCAATGGCGTCGGCCGACAATCCCGTCCGCATATCGCCACTGCACTGCTATCCGCGTCTGGGAGTGACCAGCCGCTCTGCCACTATCTGCCCTATCGCCGGGGCCGGCAGCCCCGATGGACGCCTATCGCCGGGGCCGGACAGGGACGATTTGCACGTCGGTAGCCACGCGCCGGGTTCCCACGCCACCGGGTGACACCGCGGCACCGGCCACCTGGTGGCCGCGGCGATATGGGCGGCAGATACTGCACACCGCGCACGTGCAATGCCGCGCACGAGCAGTGAAATCCAGTGACGTCAAACGGACGTGAAAATGAGCAATTGAGCATGAATGTTACCACCTTGCATCATGATTTTAATGGCTGCATGTTGTGTGAGGGTCGCACATAGCCAAGAGGCCTTCGAGCTAAAAACCGTCGATTGTAGGTAAACCTGAGTAAACGAAACATGACGTCGCTAGGACGCAATTCAGAATTCTCGCAAGCTGCAGAGCTTAGTCAGTCAGTCAGTCAGTCTCGATTGGAAATGTCCGTAGCTAGCAAGTTATGTGAGCTCGTTTCCCAGCTTTGTTTAAATTACTAGAAGAGAGACATTGTACTTATTGTCGAGAACATATAAGTGCACGTTCATAATTCATCTTTTGCGAGTGAAATGAGGTCAAAAATCCGAGGAATGCTAAATTTGAATTAATCACGAACTGCAATGCGTAGCTACCGTTACTTCCTAGAATTAAATGCCACCTAGCTCAGTGTATGCAAAGTAAAACCAGTTTAAAAAAGGCTATCCCTTTATTGCAAATCTATTAAATTCATTTTAATTGCATCTTTAAAAAGATCCTTCATCCACCTGGAAGGATAAATTCAGTGCGGTGACTGTAGCTCCCTCTGCCTTTGTTTCGGGCCGTCCGCCGTTGCCGACAATGCCGCAATGGCCGCAGTTAGAGCCTGCAACACTGGTGCTCTGCAATAATGACTCTCGTGATACCTTCCACTGTCCGGACCAGCATGTCTCAGCGTAGCCGATAGCTGCGCTGCTGACATATCCACTCCGAAACGCTCGGAGAGCCTCACGGAAACACATAGTCATTTTTGCCGTTGCTTCAAGCCGGATCTCGTTGAGTTCTCTCGTCGGTCCGCAAATAATCATCATCTTTGCCGCCGCCACCGCCGCCTCCGCGCCCGGTCTCACCGCCTTCTCTCGCCTCTGCCGGGCCGCGCGGCGGCGGTGGCGGCGCAACTCTCCGGGCCGCCGGAGTCCGGACCGGTCTGTTCCGTCCCGGCCAGCGCCGAGCCGCGGCGGCCGCCGCAAAACATGGTGGCATATGAGCTCAGCTCGAGCAGAGTCGAAACGCCACAAAAACTGGCCCGGGGCAGGTGCCGGCCGCGCGGCGATTGGTCGCGCCGACCGCCGGCGCCCGCCGCCAGACGCTGGCTCCGCCCCCTGGGCCGTTATGCTAATGTGGTATCGATGTTTATCCATTTGGCGAGTTGTCGCCGGCGGTGGAGGCCGGTTTTTTGTCGACGCGAGCGTCGCGGCGCGGCGGCGCGGCGGCGCGGCGGTGCGGGCTTCGCTCTGCACGCGACACGACGAGCCGGCCGCGGCCGGGCTCACGGTAATCCAACAGCGCGGCGCGACTGCGCAGAAACCGGCCGCAAACGGGCCGTCCAGACGCAGCGAAAACGACCGCTCGTCGGCCATGGCGACAGTATCTAACGCTATCACCAGACGAGGGATAGCGCTCATGAAAAGTACCGACAATAGATACACCTAAACATCTTAATTTTCGGGTTCCGTTATTCATAATACAGTGGTTTCGTGTTTCTCACGGTATCGGTAGCCCCCACCACACCGACTACGACAAAAACGGAACTGGTTGGCCCAGTTTGTAGTGTTGTTGGGCGTCTGGTGACGTTTTTCATGGACCTGTCGATGGTAGTCCGATCTGTCGGACTCAGGTGAGGAGCCGTCCGAACGAGTAGAACCGTGTGCCGGGGTGATTTCATGCAACCGGATGCAATACGCGGGTACGCATGCAGAGGAGCCCCTGTTGCCAAATGATGAGTGATGTCAATCGGCCTTTTATTTGTTACATAGGCCTATTCTGATTTTCAAATGATTTAAGCAAACGTCATGCTCAATAATTATAATTATTTAGCTACCTATTAACCGTTTTCAGGACGGCCATCTGGTACACATTTGGTGCACATCTGGTGCAGATTAGGTTCAAATTTGGTCAAGTTAGGTTTAGTGTATCTCTAAGTAGCTATCAGCTAGGGTTGCACTAATTGCTTATAATGCCTACTTTGTCATATTATCAGGGAGTATCATCGATTAAAACACTGAAATAAATTCATAAAATAAAGATATTTGCTGTAAAAGAGATTAGGTGCAGATTTGGTCAAGTTAGGTGCACTCGCCGGATAGCCCGTCGTGAAAACGGCTATTGCCTACTCGTCGAAAATTCTATTAAGAAGGTGATAAGAAGAAGAAAAAGAGATCCCGAATATACTTTCGCGGTCAAAATGCAGTATAAACTTCATCCATATTTACTTCCGAGTGTCTTAACAATAGCGTCAAGCATATATCTTGCCAATGCTATTCCTTGGTGCCATCCGTATATAAGTCCACACAGACCGGACAGCCATCCCAAGGCAGCTAGCTGTCATATCATAAAATAATATATTCAAACAGCGTATTTAAATTAGTCTGTTTGCATAACATTAAGATTATTTCACCAGACCTAGGCTCTGATAATATCCTGTTTATAAATGACCTGAGATCGCGGCCCATTAGAGAGATATTGTGAAACAGCTTTGGACATGTGAATATTTAGACCTGTCTGATGTACAATGCGGATAAAATCTGTGGGGGTATGCACCTTGAAGATTTATGTCACTGAGCCACTATGCTAGTTCTTTTTTAAAGAAATGAATGCCGGATACCACAAAAACTGACAAAAAATATCCTAAGCACTAAGGATACCTTAGCTGATCTTGGTTGCTACTTTCTGATGTTCCTTAAGAAACGCTCAAGAAAATGGGGAAAGGGAGATGAATTTTAAGTATGTGATTTTCAGGATCAAACTCCATTTAGGCACATCACTCACACGTGAATTAAGTTCTGACGTAAGTAAGGTAGAAAATTAACCCGCGCGGGGCTGGGGGGGGGTAAATTTTACCCCCCTCGCGAATTTTGGCAATATCTCAAAAACGGCGGCGCGCAGCGCCGCCAAACTTTCAGTACCTTTTCTTACATCAATTTGACACGTTCCCTGAAAATTTGAGCGAAATCCGTCGGAAATTTTTTGAGAAATTAACGTTTTAGTGACGTCATGTTCGCCATTTTCGCCTCAAAAACGGCAAAAGTTCAAACGCCGCTAACATCTTCATTTTTAAAGGAATCAAGACGTAACAAAAAAAGGATATACGTAATTCTACTTTGTCTATCAAATGGCTATCTCGGTTTTTTGAAAATTTTGGATTTTGGCCCAAATTTTTTCAAAAAACTGACTTTTTTGGGAAATAGCTATAAAATCCAAAATTTTGAGTGTATCGAAAAAACCGGAATATATGTCAGAGGAGTGGTCTATGTGCACCTACATACCAAGTTTTAGAAAAATCGGTTCAAAAATGTGGGAGTTATTCAAAATTGTATGACGTCACGACACACAAATTTTTTGAAAAATGACTTTTTTGGAAGTTCTAGACCTCGTACGGAAACAAAAATAGCACCATTAGATTCGCCGTGAAAAACTGCATCAGATAGACACCTTTTTAGGCCTTAACAACCAACTTCAAAATTTGACCTCACTTGACCTGACCTTGACCTGACCTCGACCTGAAATTCATCCAGAGGTGGTCCATATCACTTATTGAGTGTGCCTATTGAATCCTATGAGTAAAATGACCCATAAAACATGTGTCGCATATGCCCTTTTCTATATTTTGTTTTTGGTGACCTGACCTGACCTGACCTGACCTTGACCTTGACCTCTGAATGATATTGCATGTAACGAATATAGTCTTGGTAGCCTAAGAACACGTTTTGGGCGATCAGTCTCAGTCCATGACTCCATTCTTCGGCAACTATGGTGCAAGGCCGATACTGTAGGAACTTGCAATTTGTATCCTTGACCTGACCTTGACCTTGACCTCAAACTTAAAATTAAGTACATGTTTTTAGTTGTTCGTGATGAGATCTTTCGATTGGCGTTTGAATTTTCCAAATCGGACCATTAGTTCGGGAGATAACAGGGGGGGGGGGTAAAATTTACCCCCCAGCCCCGCGCGTTCGGCTGGAGACCCCAGCCCCGCGCGGGTTAAAGAACTTGCCACTTGATCAAATGCTGGTTTTGATTCCCCACTTAGTTTTGCGGTGATGAAGCAAAATGTGTTTGTACATTAAAACGAACACTTATCGCTAGGAAACCCGAGTATTTTGTAATAATTTTACGTTTGGGAGCCTGAATGGTAGAAAATTGGTCTCCACGTAGCCAAAAATAAGTCGGTCATT